CTGATTTAAGTTCTTAGAGATTATCTGGAGTTCTGTAAGGAGAATGGACTACATGGGAGAGAAAGGTGGAAACCTGGCAGTACTTGGCAAATAATTACCCACACATGTTTTCAGGCAGACCTGAAGAGGATAGTTCTGAAACTGGGGGGTTGGATTTTTTACATCAGAAAAAAAAAATCCCATGTGAAAATAACCGGTATCTCTATTATGCAACTGAAGATGTGCTACTATCATATTAATTTAAAAATAAAGGAATAAACAAATCCTGATGGTTTTCAATGCAACGTGGAATTTCCTTTCATTTTTTCCTCAGGCCCTGGGGATTTATTTCAAGCCCTTATGTTGTACTCTGTGGACTTTACCTAGGCACACCATATAATTTCTAAGCAAAATAGCAAATTACACTTTGGTGACATTTTCTGCAAGATGAAACAATCAGAAAACAGGGCTACCTGCTGGCTACATTCGGCTTTGCTTTTGCCATTATGAAATTTATGCTTCTATAAATTGGCAGTAATAGAATTTCACCTACCTTATAAATAGCACTTTTCAAGTTGGATAAAATGTTATCTCCAACAGCGGTGTGCCACAGAAATAGAAAACAAACAAATCAAACAATAAGCCCTCTAATTTTTGCATTGTTGGATGAAATGTGGTGGGCTTTTTTTTCCTGCCAACTATCAACCCACAGAAACAACAGGATCTAGTCTGAAGTTCTATAAGGATTTCAGTTAAGATGAATGACTATGGATGTTTTAGATATCTTTACTGAACTTTTCTGCCAACTTCAATGAATACTCACTCAACACTGTCAATGACTAGTAAACCCTAGCTTGATTTTTCTTCCATAAGTAATATTACAGAAAATATAGCTAAAATACTAGGAAAAACAGAAATTATATGTCTTCCCAAATTATAGGAATTTCTGATCTTGTTCATATCTTCCTTTGTGAATTAAAACACCAAGGTAAGTGCCTACCTAGTGTAACCTAAATATAGTAACACATCTTACTCATTAACATTAGTAATCTCCCTTTTTACCTTTAGAAATGTAAAAAATAAAAACAAACAAAAAAAAAACCTCCAATAATTTTATTTTCTCTGAGTAGAAAAGGAAAATCTGCATGGCAAAAGAATAAAATGTAACACCATAAAGAGAAAGGAAAACCTGCTAAGGATTTGGTGTAGTATGCCTGATTTGGGCAACAGGGTACTATTTTAGCTTACATTGCTCAGCCTAGCTTTCAAGACAGGGAAAAGTAAGCAGAAGAAAGATCCGATTTTTAAAATTCTCTTTGGGCCAGCCTCAGGTAAGCAATTTTAATATAGCTATTGACCAGTGGAAGAAAAGAAATTATTTTCCTGGACATGTGATTACAAAATCAAATGTGGAATAAATGCAAACAAACCTGATATTAAAAGGCATAGCTTCTATGAAATGAAAGTGTGATTATTTTTTAAGCACTCTTTCCAACTTAATGAAATTTACCAGAGTGAATTTTAAATACTATGTCTGAAATAGCACTTTATTTGCAGAAATTCATTTCATGCAAATTTTCAAAACTGTATTTAAAGTACATCAGGCTTATTAAATTATGAGCATGATAGCTAGAACAAGGAAACCCTGGAAGTCAGTTTAATTTCCTTCTACTTCTCCCCTTCTCATATCCTTTTCTTTCACTCTTATTGACAGGCTCTCAAGACCCCACTGTTCCTGCTCTGTGGGGTAGTAATTGCCATACGAAGCAGGAAGCTTTAAACAGAAGAGGAATTAAGTATGCCAGGGCCAAGCTTACCTGTGGAAGCTGCCATCATCATGTGATTTTAAAAGTTCCAAAAGACCTCCTTGCCCTCCCTCCCAAATTTTTCCCACTGGCTTCTACTTCAGAGCCAGAAATTGCCATAATTTCTACTCATTGACCCAAGGAAGTGAAGACTCTTACCTAAATACCAATATTATATATGAGAAAGAGTGTAGCAAGGTTTAAGTGGAAGGATAAAGAATGAACGTATAAGAGTTGTGAACCTGGCACATCAGTGGGAGACTCTGAAATCCAAGCTAATTAAAGTGGAAATTTCGTCTACAATACACTTGGTAAGGGTGAAATGAGGTAGATATAGGGTCAGTAAACTGGAATCTTAGTAGATAAGTAACATGGTGAGTAATGAGTGTTCAATTTCCAGAGAAAAATGAATCTTCTCACTGGAGCAGAAGTCCAAAGTCTTGAGAAAAGCTGATTCAGGAGATACAGGGAAAAGTAGGCACCAAAGAAGCAAATCAGAGATAGGTCAGATGAGTTTTTCCCTGGGGACATCTTAAAGGCAGATGTCCTAATTGATAACAGAGAATATGATCAATTTTTACTCAAACATTTGAGATCACAGCATAGAAGTAAAGTGGAGTTGTCTAGTTGGTTGACAGTAAGTATCTGTAACTTAAAAGATCAAACAAGACTGATGACCTAAGAGAAAAAAATTACAACTCATCCACAGTGAGTTGATGGAGTGACATCACCAGGAAAATATATTAAAGAGTAAGACAGAGAATATAGCTGCAAAGACCAGGAGTAGCTACTGAGCTAGAAAAGGGGCAAGAGAAAGATTTTGGGATGAAAAAGAGGAGCCAGAAGGGTCTAGAAAACTAAAGGAAGAAAAAAAATTTCAAGAAAAGTGTAGACAACAGTGTCGATAGTTGGAGAGAAGCAGACACAATAAGGACTCTGAGTAGAGTAAGATGGAGGGCACTGATGAGCTTTCACTGCATAGATTCAGTCAAATATAACAGGCAGTATAGGCTGTGTAAAAAGAAGATGGAGGCACAAAATATAATCTACTCACTGGCCATTAAAGGAAATAGAAAACCGGATGATAACTCAAGGAAGCAGTGATGTCAAGGGATGAATTTTCTCATGGTAGAGGAGACCAAAAAGAGAAAGTAGATCTTATTTTCTCCTTCTGGCTTGAAGGTAAATAGTGAGCACAAGTAGGCAAGACATGTTTTGACCACAGGTCACTTTAGAAAACAAACTAGGACAAAATTAACTCCCCCTCGAAAGTAACAGATGTTGGTGTCTCTGCCAGATACATTGTTAAGGAATGAAAGACATTTCTGCAAATACTCCTCACTCCATTGCACCCCATCCCACTCCCACCCTGCAGACACTGTGTGCTTTCTAGCAGTTTCCCACCCACAGGACCTCCATTCAGCCCTTTCCTGCATCAGGCCTGGTGGTGCTAAGACCCATTCACCTCCTCTGTTTCAGCTGAGCCATCTACTTGCCTCTAAACCAAGGTTTCCCAGCTTCTGCACTATTGTCATATTGAACCAAATACTTTTTGTTGCCGTGGCGGTGGGACTTCCTGTGCATTGTAGGGTGCTTAGGAGCCTCCCTGGCCTCTCCCCACTAAATGTCAGTAGCATGCTCTCCTACAGTCCCAACAATTAAAAAAGTCTCCATATACCGCCAAATGTTCTGGGGGCAAAATACTTCAATGCCACATGGAGAATCACTGCTACAGACACTTCTTTCTCTTGATTCTTCCTAGAGTTCAATACACACACCCTCTCCCACCCAGTTTCTCCCACATTTCCTGTCTCTGAGACAAGCAAATGACACTTTTTTCTTTCCAACAATTTTTCACAAGTCTAAACTAATACAATCCTGAAAAATTCCACTTTCAGGTATGCTAACGAAATGGCCATGCCCCTAGATTCCAGGGGAGTGTGACGGGAAAGGAGGGCTGCAGGTTCCATGCTCCCTTCCTGGGATTCCTTCTTGGCTAAGCCTGGGATATGGCTGCATCCCAATTATGGTGACACTGGATGCCAGACCCACCTCCTGATTCACAGTCTTGGACACACATAAAGGTTGCACAGCCATTAGATCCGGTAGGTTGGCTTCATTATTTCTTGTCAGGTTTTGGCCTCGCAGTCCCCCCTTTTCGCCAAAAATTTCAGTGTAGTTTCTTGGCAGTCTGTTCTTCTTTTGCTAGTCCTCTAACCTCTATCCTTCCGATATTCGGATTGCCCAAGTTTTGGTCCATTATTTATAGACCTTGTATCACATGTAGAGACTTATGGCTCCTAGCCCTCATCCAAACAGGAGAGTGAGGAATAGCATCTCCCACTAGACTCCAAGTCCCCCTCCTTGGCCCCAGGCTGCCCTGCAATGACCTGTGCTCACTCCTTTAGTCTTCCAGGTGGTCTCCAAGGCTCTGGCTGTGTGATCGAGCCCTCTCCCCAGTCTCATTTTTCTCTGCACTTTTCATTTGACTAAAACATCTTTTTGAGTGTTGAAACTAGTTTGAAATGTTAGACTTCAATAAATTCTTCCCATAGTCCAAGCAAGGAAGTACATCCTTGCTCAGTTAAAGTGAAAAAATAACAGATACATATTGAGTCTAATAAATTATTAATAAATTTTAATGGATGACACTTGCTTCACCACTTTTCAAAAGCCTCTCTGAGTCATTATTTTTGTCCTTTCCCTCATCCCTCTGAGGAAGTAGTTCTTTACCAGGTCAAGTCATTTTACACAGACCCCAGCACTAACTGATAATTTAGTTATCTTACGGTTACATCCCTGACCTCTTGATCAGTGCAGACATTAAAAGTTCTTGCTTCTAACACTGATACATATATCCACATCATTCAACATCATTCTCCTGTAGTCTATTAGTCTCCTTAGGGTCAATTAGCAGTTTTTAAACCAAGATTAATACAAATAAAAAAAATGGTATGGGTTATTATGGGAACATCTCCACAACCTACTAATAACTTAAAAATACAAATTATAAAATAATACAGTTAGCAAAATGTCTTGTGCTTAGAAAAATATATACAAAGCAAAATTATATATATAATCATTTGTATATATAAGTGATTACATGTACATACTATGTATACATTTATAAATCCGTATATATGTATATGTATATATAATTTCCAAACATAAAGCTAGAAAAGTTCAAAGACAGAAACCACACTTCAGCAGGGTTACCTTTGAGGAGTCTGGCACTGGAGAGAAGCTGACCCATGGGGAGAATCTTCTATAGTGCTTCACCATGTGGATGCAGGGTAGAGAGACCATTCCCCGGGAGATGAATGTCAGGGTGTTCCTCCTTCACCTGATTCTGTGTTTTAATAAGTAAAAAAGTACATAAGAAAAAAAAGTTCTTACTTCTACACTCGGCCACTTTATTTTTGGAAATGTATTTGCATATGTCTTTGGAATCCTCTCTTTGAATGATTTCATTCATTGTAATATAAGGCAATATTTATTGGTCCCATAAAAAGGAAAGACGTTTGGTCTCCTATCTTTCTCATGTTTTTATCATCGTGAGGATGGTTACCATTTATCAAAAACAGTCTATCCTTAATAATATTCTCCACCTGGCTCCCAGATCAATCAACATGCCTGTAAATATTTTTCTTTCAGCCCTCTACCCTCATATAAACACCTAGAGGAATAAGTGCCTGTTTTTCCACTACCTTCTGGATAATTCCTTTGGTCCCTGCTCCAAAAAATAACTAAACACTTCCCCTAAGGCTTTCATAAAAAATTCCTTCTAAATCCTACCAATTCTCCTCTCAAACTATATAACCTAGCTGAGCCACTGACTCCAGCATATACCTAACTTGAAAGAAAGAAAGAAAGAAAGAAAGAAAGAAAGAAAGAAAGAAAGAAGAAAAAGGAAGGAAGGAAGGAAGGAAGGAAGGAAGGAAGGAAGGAAGGAAGGAAGGAAGAAAGGAAAGAAGGAAAGCAGGAAAACAGAAAGGAAGAAAGGAAGAGAGAAAGGAAGAAGAGAAAGAAAAGTCCAACCAGAAATGTCAATACAGGAGTCCAGGATATCCACTACCACTTTACTTAGGACTGACAGGACACACACACACACACACACACACACACACACACACACAAGCCCAGCCCTTCCCTTGAGCAAAGACTCTTGAGAATCTGTAGAATGTATATATTGAATCGATCTACTCATGTCACAGATACAACAGGAAAGAGCTTTCAGATCATTCTATTTCCTAACCTGCAAGATGAAGAATTATCATTTATAATCATTTCCCACTGCTAAAAACTCAATACATTAACAGTAACTTTAACTCTTGGTTTATAACCAAACTTTTTATTTAACTGACCTGGAAGGTTGATTAAAATTCCATTTGGTGTTATAATTTAAAAACAAGTGAGATGACACTTCTAAGAATACATACACATCCACTTTTTTGAGTCATTTGGAAGGATTATAGAAATAAATGAACTGCACAACGAAACCAGTAGAAGTGAGAGTTGGTCCCTGTGGGTGTGTGGGGATTGAGTATAGTGAGGAAGTGATAAATTGGGAAAGGAGAACAGGATGCATCTCTCTTTAGGCCACAGAAAATAACATAGGAAACTGTTAAAGAGTGTAGGAAGGGTTTTCTCCCACTTCTTTCCTCCCACAGGAAGTCACTAATACTTTCTGAGAAAAGAGATAAGTCGTCTAGTTTTTACCCATTAGTTAAAAACAGCAATTTCTAGACTTAAGCATATTAGTGAGGACTGCCCTTTACAACAGCTCAAGAAAACTCCACTTAGAAAGAAAACACTTGACAGTAATCCCCGTTGTTTCTAAGGTAAACCCACTCTATATTAAATGTAACTTTAAAACTGTGACTTTTATAAAGAATAGCAAGTGGGTTAATACTGGAAATTCTAAGGCCTTGCTAAAAACACTTCAAATGTAAAATAATCCTTATCTAGAATTAATGAAGCAAAAGGGGGAGCATAAACAAATGTATGCTTTTAAGGGGCATTTTAAGTATGAGTATATGACATGCCAGCCTTTTGAGAACCTTTGGTAGAAACAACTGAGTGGACCTACTTGGTGCCCCCATTTCCCTCCTTATACCCTCCTCTGAATGATGTGAAGTAGGTAGCTCATATGGGGAAGTAGGTAGCTCATAACAGATCTTAGTCTGGCATCCTAATCCAGAAAGACACTTTAAGAGGCCAGGTCAGTTTCCATGGAGGATGAGGCTGGAACATCTCCCTTCCACTCCTTACTCCCCCCATACAGGTGCTTACTCCCTGGGCTGTCCCCAGAATTAACCTTGAAGCCCGGCAATCAGAGAAGACAGACATATATTCAATCTGGTAAAAGTCCTGAGGCTAACTTCTCATCTCTAGAATTTAACCACTTACTAGCCTGCTCCTAAATCATTTTCACTAGGTCATGATGAAAAAAACATTTTTATCTCTAATTCAATCACAATTTATGGTTCCAAGAAGAAAATAATGGCATTGAAAGTCAAAAGTTATTTACAGAACTTCTGATATGTTCTGCCTTCTAGTAACATGTGATTCTTTCCATAGTTCTATTTTTTATACTGACTCCAAAGAAATAGGTTCTTAACTGTTTAACAATTTTGAAATTATTATATTATCTTTTTAAATTATTTAGAGATCTACATTTAAAGACTTGAAAACTAGAGAGAATTTACATTGTTGACTTCCACAAAACAGCACATATTCAATACATACCATCCTAAAATTTGGGGATGGGTGAGTGTTGGTTTACAGGTATGTGTTGTAACCTGAATGAAAATACTCCTGAAAAGAATATCTAATTTCCATTGCCATTTGGCATGCCAAGCTCTGGAGGTTCTCTTTGTCCCTGTTTTAGGATCTCTATTCCTTTCACACGTGCTAACTCAGCCCACATTGTTTTGTTGACATGTAGAGAGTGAGGGTAGGGTATAAGTCTTAACAGGTTAGCATTTTGACTGCTAGAAGACTAATATTACTAGGCAACATATCCATGTTTCTTGCCTGATAATTAAGACCCATATTTCGGGGATCCACGGAATCTCAACACCCCAGAAATGCCATGTAGCATTAAATATTTCTGTGCTTTCTTTCCCACTGTTATGGGCTAAATTTGTATCCCCACCTCCCCCAAAATTACTTTGCATAAATAATTACATTAAAATGAGGTCATTAGTTTGGGCCCTGGTCCAATATGACTGGTGTCCTTATAAGAGGAAATTTGGATATAAACATGCACACAAAGGAAAGACAGGAAGAAGGCACAAAGAATATGATAAGACAGGAAGAAGACTATCATCCACAAGCCACAGAGAGAGGCCTGTAACAGATCCTTTCCTCAAGGCCCTCACAAAGAAGCAATCCTGCTCACACCTTGATCTCAGACTTCTAGTCTCCGGAACTGTAAGAAATTAAATTTCTGTTGCTTAAGCCACTCAGTCTGTGGTACTTTGTTATGGCAGCCCTAGGAAACTAATACACTTACCAAAGGAAGAAGAGTACAGGAAGTTTTAAGATGCCAAAATGACAGATTGTAAAACAGTAGGAAATGGGGAAGTTCATTAAGATGACAAGTGGGAGCCAACAGGTTACATAAGAGTACAACTGTTATGCACTCCCCATAAAGGAAAGGATTAATTTTAGGTCCTGCTGGACCATGCAGAAGGTGTAAATTAAAGAAAATTATCTCTCCAATCCTAGGTTTAAAGAAAAAGAAAACCCCATAGAACACTGAAATATAAGATACAAGGTAGAAAGAAGAAATCTGCCATATTGAAAGTCTATTACTGAAAATAAGTAGTCCTAACACTTGAATACATAAGACATTATACAAAGTCTTTGAAGCTGCACAGTGGCAATTCTAGGATTCCTTTATAATGCTGAAAAAAGTCCCACTAATGGACTTCCAGGAAAACACTAGTAAAAACAGGCCTAGGATAATTGCAGAACAGTGAATTTAGGCTGGTAAGAAATAGATTTCAATTATATTTATCTAATCATTGATAATGGATTTTCCCCAAAGTAATTTTTTTATATCTACAAACTTCCTTTTACTAAATAATGATATATAAATGGTGACTTGAAACAAGTCATTAATCAATTTTGGCTCTCTGTTTTCCCATTTATAAAATTGAAAATACATGGGTTATAGCTACACAAATACTTGAGATACCCAGACTGAACTTACTATCTTCCTGGATAAGAGCCAGCAAAGGTGGCACATACACAGAGCATTTAATATATAACAAGTTATTCTTTTTTGCTCTGATCATTCTCATTCTATCATCCTGCTCACTAGGGTGGAGAAATGTACCATCTAATGTTTCACAAAAGAGAAAACATTTTTCTGTCTTTCATGTCGTGGGGAAGCCTGAATTATCTTAATCATACATTGTGTTCTTGTCTTAAACATCAACACTCCCCTTGGTTTTCTATCCATGAGCCAGAATATTGGGTTGATTATTCTCCTGGAAGCACACTCTTTGCCAAGGTTTACCATTATTTTTCATTAGTTTCAATTCTGAAAGGAAGGAGACAGAGCCTATATATGATGATGAATGGGGTTAAAGGCCCAAGGACTAACATGATTGTATAAGAAGCTACTGCTGGGTGATATATGAACATATTGGAGTAATACATGCTAAAAATGAGGAGGCAGCACAGAGCAGTTGGCAGGACAACAGGCAGCCTAAATTACATCATTCATTTAATAGGTCTAACATATGGTAGCTATTAGATCTCCAAAACAAATGCAAGGCTAACCAACACTCTCATAGAAAAAAGGCTTCCATTCTTAATTTTTTTTTTTTTTAATAAAAGGCCTCAGTCCAAGTTGCTGCCAATTCCAACACAATAATAACATATATCTCTAAACGAAATAATAATCTGGACCTTGCCAAGAAATTAACAGTTTCACCTGATAATGTATGCTTTAAAATGTTAAATGTTCTTGTTTTTGTCTTTTACACATTTCTTAAGGAGCTATGCAGGAATTCAATGGGATAATTTAATGGTTTTAAGCAGCAACTGAATTCTGTAATATATAAATCAGCTCATAATTGTTTTCCGAATGAAAGATACAAATGCTCTATATTAAAGCTGGCCTTTGCTTAAAGCAAGTGAAACATATCTTTGATTCTGTCATTTTCCAATTAATCTCATTTTTGTGTTGCAAAAAACATAGGAGAAAGCTCCAGTGATCTTTTGGGGACGTAATTTTGCCCTTGTTTTACATGGTTTTCAAATAGTTACCCTAATCAGAAAAAAAAAAAAAGAGAAAGAAAGAAAGAAAATGAGTAAAAGAGCAAAGTACAACCA